AGGATGAGGTTTTTGGTGTACCCATAATGATTGTAGCATTCGCAGTTGCGGAATCGGTTATCACCAAGCCGTTCCTAGTTCAGAAAATGTGTGGATGTCATCCCTTTAAATCGGTCGTGTGCACTTGCTTGGAAGCAAAGAATCTTCGGGCGAGGAGGTGTCCTAAGAGCGGATGACTAGCGGATGTAAAAACGGCTAAAAGTGCAAGTTATAAGGGTTTAGTCTAGGCTATTTATCAAGTTGCCGGTATGCGGAGAGCTCCAGTCATTATTCACCCTCCCCCCGACTGACGAATTACTGAACAATGCAAACCAAGTCAGTCTAGAGCAAATTGGCGCTCAAAAAGTACGCCAGCTTTTGTGTGTGTGGGAACATTTTCGGAAGCCCGAGTTTCTGGTCAAATGGAATTCCGACCAGATCTTGTTCACCGGATCTCGTAGAAGATGCAGAACATACGCCTCAAGTCATGACAGTCTTACGTATTACTAGGCCGATGTGGGGAAGTATGATGTAAGGCAAGTTCACATCACATAGAAATAAAGTATTTGTCAATTACGACGGAATGCGCGAAATATCTCGTAGTTTTCAGAAGACAAATTTGTATAAAGAAATCAGCTCAGTCGATTACCTTTGGTCAGCGGACTTAAAACTCAATCCTGGTTGCCAAGTTGGACAGTGCTTAATGAAATATTTGTGTTCTACACCGAAAATCAAGGTGCGAAATGGATTCACAGTGACACGTTTTGAGTGGTAGTTTGCTAAGTTGCAGCTGGTCATTACAGAGACGAGTCTTCTCGTTTTTTAGACTTCGTCTGAACCAAGAAAGTAAATGTGACTCCGGAAGACGGTTTTTGACAGACCAGATACACTATTTTCAGCCCCCAAAGACAGTAATTTCAGCATTTAAATCCCTACTCAGTCCTGTCTTTCATGTTATGACCATATTCTCAGTTTGTTTTTTCCATTCATCCATCAACTGATGCCTCCCCGTTCGCTGGTAACCATTTTCCTGGTTTCCCTGTGCGCTTATAAAAAAACGTTTTGCCAATTGTTTTGGCAGTCTCGGGCCTGTTGTCACTGGTGTCCTCGTTCGTGAGACTCTGAAGGTCGCGTGCACGTACACAGGCAAAGAAATCTTCCAACAAGCTCTCGCATAAAACGCCACAGAGAAAACTTGAACACGCTGATGTTTTTTAATGCTTAATGGGTCACTGACATTGCACACTAAGCACTTTTAGGGGTGACTTATGGAGAATGACACAAATGGCACTGCTGTGCAGATTTATAGAGATACACCTCTTCACTGCAGGCAAAAAAATCACGCTTTTGTTCAGAGGGGTCCATCGTAGTCGTAAGGCTTGTAGCTACACCCGAAAGCAGAGGTCAGCGCATTAACACAGGCACAATAATCCAGACTTAAAATCTGATTTTTTTTCTGTCCATTTGTAGACGGAGTACTGGGCCCACCAGCGTCTTCACATCAAAGAGGAGCGGCAACTGGACTGTCCACACTGTCCCTTCGTCACGGAATACAAGCACCATCTGGAGTACCACATCCGCAATCACCTGGGCTCAAAACCCTACAAGTGCTCCAAGTGCAACTATGAGTGTGTGAATAAGTCCATGTTG